TTTATTTATGACAATAATGTTTTTATTGTTTAACTTCAGTCTTTTAAGTGTTAATGGTCTTAATTTGGATGAAAGTTTAGACGTTGAGTTGGAGCTCAGGTGTTGTAGTTAAAAATATAAAGATTCCAATTTTGTTACAAATTAAGTATTACCTTACTAAATAAACAATAATTATGTATGTTTCCTAGAATTTATAATATATGTATTATAACTGATTACCGTTACTTCAATTTTAGTAAATAAATACTCAATAAATAGCGCTGTAATTTAATATTTTTTGTATGGATTTTTTTTTGATATTCAATATAAATGAAATAACTATGTAACCGTCAATCAAAACCTTTTCCGACTGATGTAATGTTTTCATTACATTATAACACCTTTATCCACTGACTCCTTCAACCATAGTGTAATATATTATATTTAAATGAAATTATCTCTTAAAAATACCTAGTTATTTTCTCCGTTTCATGGAAATACGAAAGATCAAACATAAATTACCGGTCTATTTCGAACACGTTTAAATGACATATATTGTATGTTAAACGATTCTTGATCTAATGTCCCGAAACGCAGTGTTCAATGCAGCAGTAAAAGTTGAGATTATACAAGTTACGGTCATTTAACTTTAAAATTAACACGAGAAGGTTTTCTGTCTGTATTATTATTATTTTCCTAGACGTTATTAATAAACATTTTTAATCGTCTAGACTCTAGTGTTTAAATAGTATTTAATCATAATTCACTATGATGGCAGACAACATTTTTTAACGGTTTTTCGAGAATCGACTTGTATTAAAAAACATACATTTTACGGCGTTTCGTATAGACAACACAACATACATGTGTTCTTAAAGTCGCTGAGTGTACATGGTGGAAATTAGGCGTATTAATTGCACAGACATTAACATAATATATTTTTTGTTATTTTTAGTCTCGTTTATGTATTTACAAAGTGTATTTTTGTTCATGTACTTGTATAATAAATACCCAAGTCAGTTGAAGTATAGCAAGTTCTTTCAATTGGGAATAACTACAACTAACGTTGATTAAAACTATTGAGACAGTTTAATAGTCAGATAGCTTAACTGATTTTGAACTTGTAAAAAAAAAAAATTAGTCAATAAAAAACATTTTCAAGTTAAGTTATGCTTTTTGGAACTATATATTATAATATATGATTTGGTTAGATTTACCTGTGTAAACCATATACAAATGTAACAAAAACATAAATCCAGATAATTTGCAATTGCCGACTTAATTATCTAGTCGTCCGGATTTTCAATTTACATTTTAGTAGCCTGTTCACTGTAACTTAATATTAAAAAGCTATGGATTTTTTTTTTTGTATTTAATATAAATAAAATAACTATGTAACCGTCAATCAAAATCTTTTACGACTGATGTAATTTCATTATAACACCTTTATCCACTGACCCCTTCAACTGTAGTAGAACACTTATTAATATTGACTATTTTTTTGATATTTTATGTGTTGTGATTTCAGACATTGGTCATTATCAGTACATAATAACAAAATATTAATTTCAAATCATTTTTATTGAAACTAATTTTTCATTTATATAATACCTAAAGCACTGAATAAAAAGTAGCCAGAATCCGAAATGCATTTGAAAATTTTTATTGAAATCAAACATCACAATTTAATTACTATTTTATTATTTATAGAAGTATACTTGTTAAAATTGATACTACTCTATTGAATAATGAAAAATAAAATAATTAAAAATTTTTTAATTATTATTATTTAGTAGGATGAACTTTCGATTAGCCTTCTAAAAAAAATAGCAATATATGGATTTATACCTTTTATGATTTACTTAAAAAAACATTAATGTACATCAATTTATTTATTTAGAACAAATAAGTCTGTGAATAATTATCAAATAATATAGGTATTTGATGCGCTGTATTTTATTATTATTATTATTATTATGTAACTGTCCAGATCTAAAATTTAAAAGTTATTTTATTTAACCGTTTCTCGTTCTGTACTCTTTGACCGTTTTTAAGCACTGCCGGACACTCGAATAATCAAAAATATTTTTTACTAAGTATTTTCACTTATTAAGTACTCCTCAATTATTTTCCTATTTAATATATACTGATTGACCTCTAGACATTTCATTCGTGTTTTGTACTCTTGAGTTCCTAAATAACCATCGCAGGGCTCATAAACATATCATTCTTTCACACTTTTAAACTTCTAATAACCGACAGACGTCAACGAAGCTCTAGTTGTCGTGATGTATAAAAAATACTGATCTTTAGTTTTATACTTAAACCATATTATAATACTTTTGCAGTGCTATATGGTTTTTTAAACATACAATTAAAATGGATTTTAAACGGTAAAATACTTGGCACTCTGTATGCAGCGTTGTTGTTTCCAACATGAACAACTGTACAAACATAACATTAAACGTATTGTGTACATGACTTGTAGGTCTGACAATAAATTTAAGCTGTAACACAGTTTCTTAAACGAAATCATCTACACTAGTAACACACTAGAACTACACTTGAGAGGTATACGTAAGTTTAGTAACAGGCCTAGAAGGAAATTGCGAAAAAATGTAGCGTTCAAACTTGTCATTATGGTTTAGTCTCACTACCACAATGCTAATTGTATGCTTGCACATTATGCAATGTTCCTTGGACATTCCATGGCTTTACTTGGTACTACAAGTATTTATTTCAACATGGATGTAGCTATTGGGTAGATACAAGAAATTTCAAGTCGCCATTTTCGAGTTGCACTTTCTCTTGTCTTTATCAGTTTGAATTCCCCCACCCACTGATAAGAAACTCGTCATAGACTTCGGTGTTGAGAGGAACGTATGATTTGCGGCCCGGGTTTATGAGAGGAACGTATGAGTTGCGGACACATAATAATTACCATTTTATATCAGCCTATTAGCGTTACCCAACGCTAATTGAATATTGTGCCTAATTAATGACAAATCATTAATTGTTAAAGTTGGTATATCCCCTTGTTTTCATTCCGTGCGAATAAGTTTTGCCGGTTTACAAGAAATGTCTCTTATAGCTTTTCTTTTCACAGAATTACTCAAAATTTGCCTATTTAGAATTTTTGCATCCGATTTACATGATTACGATCAGTGTACTTTCAACTATAATATTTGCAGAAGATAATTTTAAAAAACACTTACAACTCTTCACACGGCTAGGCCACCGTTGTACATTATCTTTAGGTGCTTTATGGAAACGAAATTTGTAGCCTTCGTAAACAATAAGTGGCTTCGATTTTTCACTGTTAACAAATTCCATGATCACACGTTTATTTCTGAAAATAAAACTCAAAAAATCCATTGCAAATCCGTTACAATTTTTTATATTTTAAGAAAATTACAATAATTGTTGTGTGAAAAAAGTTACAACTTACAAACTATACCTACTCTCATATGGTGCATACACTGTTTGATATACCTTTTTCAAAATAGTAACATTGTTTTTCACTTAAGAAATAGCAAATTTATTTTCACTGACAATGAATCGTTACTAATCGACTTCTAATTTTCTAAATGAACCTTCAATATCGTTTCCAACATCATCCGAGTGATGAATGGAATTTTTCGGTCGTTTACTATTATCTGCAACAATTGATGATTGTGCTATAAGCCATTCTGGGCGTTTCTTCAATTCATCATGCCAGTCATCTAAAATATACCATATAACTCGGTAAACATCTGATTGTTTGTGCTCGGCGACGGTAGGCTTAACATTTTAGTTTCCATTCTTCTATTAAACAAGGTATTTTACACATAACCCTAACTTTGATAACTTTGAAAACGCAATGGAAGGTTTATTTAGGAAATTGGATGTCGATTAGTAACGATTCATTGTCAGTGAATATAAGTTAGCTCGTTCTTAAGGGAACATCAGCGTTATAGCTGTACATAAAAGTGCAAAATGCATAACTTTTTTCACACAACAAATATTGTAATTTTCTTAAAATAAAAAATATTGTAACGGGTTTGCGATGGATTTTTGAGTTTTATTTTCAGAAGCAAATAATAAAACCTCCGAGAACAACAATAATGTTTTTCTTGTTTAACTTTAGTCATTTAAGTGTTAATGGTCTTTATTTGGATGAAAGTTTAGACGTTGAGTTGGAGCTGAGGTGTTGTAGTTAAAAAATATTAAGATTGCAATTTTGTTATGTATAAAATACCTTTTCCTATATAATAATGAAAACTAAAACGTTAATGCTACCGTCGTCGAGCACAATCAATGAGATTTATACCGAGTTAGGTACATCTGAGACTAAATTGGATCTCGACGTGAAAATTCTCAGGGAGTGGATAGTATAAGTAATAATTGCCAAAAGTTTGAGTAGATTGGAACATTTAAAAAAATAGATTATACTTTTCTTATATCAATTTATCTTATAACAATTTTTTCAGCAATATACATGAATAAAACGTTCAACAATTAACAAGTTTTTTTTTTTTAATTACAATGATATTCATGGTATTAATAATTCATAACCATATTAACTCGGTTACCTCAGTCTTGGGAAAAAATCAAACGTCCTTGTACATAGTTTGCCAGGGTCGGAAAAAATACCAAAAACACTGAATGTCGTTGAAGAAATAGTATAGTCATGCTCATTTCATAGTCTTGATTGTTACTCTATGCAATACAATTAATTTTTTACTTCTATTGTAAATTAACTTTTTATAAAACTTAAGGTTTATGTGTAACACCGAGTAGCATGTTGGTAAATTCTGCAAATAAAGGTTTCAGAACAAAGTTCTTTCAAGCTAATTTTTTAACAACCTGACAATATGCATATAGAATTTATAATATGTAAACTATGACCAAACAACAAAACCTTTTTTTTTTATTTTAAAACAAAGGTTCTCATGATATTATTGTTTTATTATGATATTATCTTCTCATGATATTATTATTAATTAATTATTCCTGGGAAAAAATCAAACGACCATTTACATAGTTCCTTGTGGTCGATAAAATTACCAAAACATCGAATGTCTTGCTCATTTCATAGTCTTGAGTGTTACTCTATTTAATAGAAAAGTCTTTTTTTATTTCTTTTGTAAATTAACCCTTTATAACACTTAGAGTTCATGTGTACAATACCTTGTTCAATAGAATAATGGAAACTAAAACGTTAATGCAACCGCCGCCGAGCACAATCAATCAGATTTATACCGAGTTGGGTACATCCGAGACAAAATTGGATCTTGACGTGAAAATTCTCAAAGAGTGGATGCGAAAACAGCCTCACCTTCCGAACCCAGACGGTAAAATCAATAATTTTTATATTAAGTTGTATTGTTTTTTTTCGGAATCCTTTATTATCGTAACAATAGTGTGTTCTTATAATATTTTACACACTAAAAAATAATATATTATCTATTAGATGATGAAAAGATAATCGATGAAAAGCGACTCAAAACATTTCTGTTGATTTGTAAGAATAGTTTGGAGAAAACCAAAGTAATGTTGGACCAGCATTACACTATAAAACTCTCAGCACCAGAATACTTTTCCAAGTGGGATCCGACATTACCAGAGATAGTTCAAACAATTAAACAAACGTTAGTATCTATGTGAACATATCTATTATTTTTAGTTGTTTCAAACATGAATAACTGACAGTAATTTTAATAAATCAAACAGCGACTTTTCACATCCGTGTGCTTGTAAGAAATTGCTAATTGTCTAATGTTTTTTTAATGTTTATTGCGCCCATTGTTGGTTTTAGACAAAGAAGTATTTTGGATTAATACCAATACATTTAATTTGACAATGTACATTTATATTTATTAAAATTTAACAACTAAACTGTTTTTTAATATATTTGATATTAATATGCAATTATAGATGACAAATTTTCTTTAATATTGTGAACAATTGATATATATATTTCACTAATAATTTGAATTGATAATCATTTTTTTAGTTGTTACCTCACATTACCAAACCCTACACACGAGGGTTACAGGGTTATCATTATTAGTATAAGGACTGAAGATGCCGAACATGTTGTATTTGATAATTTTATTAAACTGTGTTTTATGATATATGATCTCAGAGTTGCCAAGTTAGACACTTGTAAAAAAGATATAAGCATAATTGATTTCAACAATTTGTCAATGAATCTTGTAGCAGCAATAATACCCAGTATTAAGAAAGTCATTGAAAGTTTTTTTGTAAGTAACTTTTTAAATTTATATTTAACTTAAGGGGATCGCATTTAATCTTTTCTTAAGTGGTTAAATCAATATACAGCTTTAAAAAAATGTATATTCTTTGATTTTCATGAAAAATATTTTTGCCTTAAAACCATCGTTGATCAAGCAAAACTGGTTCTGTGTAACTAAACTAGAAATTTATAATGTAAAAAAACCAGTACAGTTCAAACCGAGCACAGTGTAAACCAGTACAGTTCAAATTATTTATGTTTATACTAGTATAGTTTAAAATAACTACTGTCTAAACCAGTAAGTAAATACCAAGTAAGTAGAAATTACCAGAGTAGGGTCCAGCTTCCACAGATTCACATCGAAACGTTTCCTTTAATGTAATATTACAGGAACTTTGCAGCCATTTACGAAATTTGTTTAAGTATGTGAGATATTTTTGAAAAGGGTTGAAACTTTTAATATATGTATAAGTTTTCTGTATTAATAATTAAATAACATTGTACCTAATTGTGTATGATGTTTAATTTAAATGTTCACCATAACAAATAGGGTAATAATATCTAATATAATAATATCTACTAATATCTTATTTATATTATATGATTATTATTTTGTTTAGGCTGCATATCCATTACGGTTACATAACATGCACTTAATCAATACAAACAGTTTCGTAAACCCATTAATTAATCTATCATTAAGTCTTATGAAAACAAAAGTTGCCGGAAGGGTAAATTATTCCTTATTTTAACATTTGTTTCGAAAAATTTTAATTAAATATTTATATTACAGGTGATTAATCACAAATCCATCGATGATTTGAAAAATTACATCGAACCTAGTGTTCTTCCACTTGACTACGGAGGGACTTATCCAAAGACGTCTGACGAAATAATGGGTTAGTATAATCTGTAATATTTTTTACAAAAAAAATTGATGCTTTTACTTTAAATTAAAAAAAACTGTAGCAAAGTATCCGCAATAAACCAAAAAATAAGATTTTATCGTCTGAATCCAAAACGCAAAATATTTTATCAACTATAGAAATGATAATTATCTTTATTTCTGTAAAAAAAATGTATAATAATAAATAAATTAAGTTCCATATTTTGTTTATAAATACAAAATATTGAATATGATCAGTGATGGCCCGGATGATTAATCCCGGATTATAAGATTTTTGTTAAATTAATTAAAATAGTCCAGGAATTCAGGTTAAAAAAATAATTTATGTCCTTTACGAAAAAACATTGAATCGTTAATATCTTATCATATATCTCCCATCTCTTATCAATCATCTCTTATCTTTTAGACGAATAATTTATTTCATGAAATATCAATGTCGTTTTAGCCTTATAATTTGATTTGTAAAATAATTGTTATATTTTAGATGACTGGTATGATGAATTAAAGAATCATCGAGAATGGCTTATGACACAATCCTCAATTATTGCAGATAATAGTAAACGACCGAAAAATTCTAATAATCACTTGGATAACGCAATGGAAGGTTCATTTAGGAAATTAGATGTCGATTAGTAACGATTAATTGTCAGTGAATATAAGTTAGCTCGTTCTTAAGGGAACATCATGCGTTATAGTTGTACACGCATGATGTTATTTTGGCAATATAATTATTTTGGTGTATTATTTTTCTGGTGAAAGAGTATTTTGTTATTCTAACAAAATAGCGTAATTTTATGTTGTGAAAAATGTGTAGGGTGAATTTATTTGGTTGTGTTGTAATATAAATGTGTAATGTATAATGAAAAACAATGTTACTTTTTTGAAAAAGGTATAATCTTTATGTTCTTTGCTAAACAGTTTTTTACGAGCTGCAAGGAAAAACCGAATTCCCGATTTAGTAAAAAATGTACGAAACTTTACTTTGAGCTAATTCGATACTTTTCACTTAAAACGGTTCTTTTGCCATCTGTGATTTTTGTGTTCAATCCCTGTGTTAATTTCCATTTATTTATTAATAAAGATCACTAATTGGCAAATTGTAGAGTAAATGTCTGACAATAATGTACAATTGTAATTAAATTTTAATTTTACAATAAATTTAGTACATTCAATTATATTCAGCTTAATATTATAGGGTAGTCCACTATAAGCAATTTATACATCCGGATTATAAAATTTAAATTCCTTCTGCATTAGACTAGGTAGCCTTTTAAAATAATCAACATTTTTCTTTTAACACATTTTGAAGACAGTTGTGAATAACATATTTACGAACAAAACTGTTCATAGGATTTAAAAAAAGAACACCTATTTTAAAAAAAAACTTAAAATAATAAATATGCTTTGATGGCAAAGTCAAAGCTTATCAAAACAATAGTGTAAACATTTGGACAGGCTACTAAAATGTAAATTGGAAATCTGGACAACTAGATAATTAAGTCGGGAAATGCAAATTATCCGGATTTATGTTTTTTGTTACATTTGTTAGGTGTTTTTTTTTACATAGCTTGTATTTAAAATATTATAGCTCAACGATTATAAGAATAACATTAATAATACAGACTAAAATTAAAACAGAAAAAACAAACTATATATGTAATTACATAGAAATATAACATAAAATTATTTACTTAAATATGAAACCCAGCATGGAAGGGATGATAGGGCAGATTGAGCTATGCGAAGTGGCATAGTTAGGAGGTAGGGATGACCATTTGTGCTGCCAAGCTTGTAATATAGTTTTATTTAAATCTGGAAGGTAGTCAGAAAAAGGAGTGGTTAGGCCTTGAGGCAATATGAAGGAAGCGGCGGAAGTGGCTAGGGAGTCGGCAGTCTCATTACCAATTATGCCACAGTGCCCTGGAACCCAAAAGAATTGAACGGTTTTGCCAGAGGATGCGGAACAGAAGAGATCTTATGTTAAGAATAAGGGGAGACAATGTAGTGCTGAAGGGATTGAAAGAGAGAGCAAGAAGACAAGCTTGGGAATCTGAGCATATCAGAAAATGTTCATAATTGGAGGAGTAAATAAAGAGAAGAGCATGGGAAATGGCGGAACATTCAGTGGTAAAAGAAGAAGACAGAGAGTGGAGATTAGTATAAAAGGATATGCTTAAGTCAGGAATATAATAAGCGCAGCCCGAAGATGAACCATCAGTAATAAATCAGACGCCAGCCTGGGAAGGATAAGGAGATGTAATACAAGAAAAGGTTGTTAGTTACTTGGGGTGGAAGACATGTGAAATTAGAACCAGAGAAACCTAGAAAATTTGGGACAATATGAACAGTATTATTAAAACCATTTTAGGTGAAAAGTATTCAATTAGCTCAGGGTAAGGTGTCGTCCGTTTTTTAACTTTGCTTAAGAAAACGAATTATACATATTTGTATTAAACTAGCAATTTCGTTTTATCAAAATCCATTGTTTTTCATAGTCATTAAAGAAATAATTTTAATTTAAAAAAAACAAGGACGATTTAATTATGTGTTTTAATTATGACGTTTTCATTATGTATTTTTACGGAAATATACGTTGATTAAAAGTGCATATATCATAAGTAAATATTATTAATGATAATTTCCACTATTATGTTAAATATACATATTAGTTTCGAAGAGAAGACAGACAAAAATATAGTCAACAAATATTATGAAAATTGCAGTATTATTAATTTTTTGTTAACAGTTTGTATATGAACAAGTTTGATAGTAAAATATAAATATATACAATATACATGCTTAGAAATTTTTACCTAGAAAATGAGTACGGTCTTAATTTTGTTTTTAAATAGAGACAAATGTTTTTAATTCCATAAATATGCAGACAAAACATTTATACATATCAACAATTCAATTTGGCACATTAAATTTAGTACCTATAAGTATTGGACAAACTTTGTTTTCAAAAATTTCATATTTTCTTAAGAAAATGAGTATCTCACATTAGACTAGTTGTCTTGATCGTTAGGTAAAATATTGATATCAGAGTAAATTTTATATTTCAATTATTAAAACATATTTAAATTACTCTTATTTTGGGTACCTCCGTCTTGGCATTAGTTATTATAGTTACAACAGGCTGCACTAAATACCGATGGAATTAGAAAACAAAAAGATGAACAGACATGCAAATATATTCATTAAATACTAGTGTTGACCTTTTGAGAGACATTTTTTAATTTTTTTACAAAGTTTAAAAATTTTACGTAATAATTGCTAAAAGTTTTAGTAGATCCGAACATTTAAAAAATAGATTAAACTTTCATTATATCAATTTCTAACTACAATATTAAGTTGAATACAATTTAATGAACCAAATGTATTGTAAAAGCTTATTGAATATTCTTCACCTAAAATGGTTTTATTAAAACATTTTTACAAAAAAAAAAAAAAACAATATTTTTTTTTAATTCATAAATCGTAGAAAGGAATCCGCAATAAACCGAAAAATAATTTTTTCTCAGTCTGAATCCAAAACGCAAAATATAAGAACACACGTATATTGTGTTGTCTATACGAAACGCCGTAAAATGTATGTTTTTTTACAAGTCTAACCTCGAAAAACCACTAAAAAATGTTTTTCTGCTATCATAGTAGACTATGATTAAATGCTATTTAAACACTAGACTTTGATCGTCTAGATTAAAAATGTTAAATAATAACGTCAAGGTAAATTAATAAGAAAACAGACACAAATTTTATAGTTAAATGACGGTATATTGTTTAGTCTCGACTTTGTACTGCTGCATTGAACACTGTATTTCGGGTTCTTAGATCAAGAGTCGTTTAACATACAAAATATTATGTCATTTAATCATGTTCGAAATGGACCGGTAAATTATATTTAGTCGTATTTCGTATTTCCATGAAACGGAGAAAATAACTAGGTATTTTTAAGAGATAATTTCATTGAAATGTAATATATAACACTACGATTGAAGGAGTCAGTGGATAAAGGTGTTATAATGTAATGAAAACATTACATCAGTCGGAAAAGGTTTTGATTGACGGTTACATAGTTATTTCATTTATATTGAATATCAAAAAAAAATCCATACAAAAAATATTAAATTACAGCGCTATTTATTGAGTATTTATTTACTAAAATTGAAGTAACGGTAATCAGTTATAATACATATATTATAAATTCTAGGAAACATACATAATTATTGTTTATTTAGTAAGGTAATACTTAATTTGTAACAAAATTGGAATCTTTATATTTTTAACTACAACACCTCAGCTCCAACTCGTCATCTAAATTTTCATCCAAACAGAGACCATAAACACTTAAACGTATAAAGTTAAACAAGAAAAACATTATTGTTGTTCTCAGAGGTCTAATTATTTATTTCTGAAAATAAAACTCAAAAAATCCATCGCAAATCCGTTTTATCCGTCAATATTTTATATTTTAATAAAATTACAAAATGTGTTGTGTGAAAAAAGTTACAACTTACAAACTATACCTACTCTCATATGGTGCATATACTGATTGATATCCCTTTTTCAAAATACTAACTTTGTTTTTCACATTTATATTACAACACAGCCAAATAAATTAACCCTACACTTAATTTTTTACACAACATAAAACTACGCTATTATGTTACAATAGCAAAATACGCTTTCACCAAAAAAATTTAAAATTTAAATACACCAAAATAAATCTATTGCCAATATAACATCATGCATGATGCACTTTTATGTACAGCTGTAACGCATGATGTTTCCTTAAGACCGGGCTAACTTATATTCACTGACAATGAATTGTTACTAATCGACATCTAATTTCCTAAATGAACCTTCCATTGCGTTTTCAAAGTTATCCAAGTAATTTTTGGAATTTATCGGGCGTTTACTATTATCTGCAACAATTGACGATTGTGTCATAAGCCATTCTCGGTTCTTCTTCAATTCATCATGCCAGTCATCTAAAATATAACAATTATTTTACAAATAAAATTATCAAACAAAAGCGTCTTATGTATTTATTAAAATAAATGATTCGTCTAAGTGATAAGAGATGGGAGATATGAGATAACATATTCACGATTTAATGTTTTTCCGTGGAGAGGATAAAATTATTTTTAAACCTGTATTCTTGGACTGTTTTGGTCACGTTCAATTGTACTTATAAACAAATGCCACTAAATTTATTTATTATTATTATTATTTTTTTTTACAGAAATCAAAATAATTTTTATTTCTATAGTTGTTTAGAATATTTTTCGTTTTGGATTAAGACAATAAAATATTATTATTATTAGATTCATATCAGATTTCTTTCTACGAGTTATCAATTTAAAATAAAAACAACATTATTTTATAATAATTATTATTAGATTATAGTAACCTATTATTTCGTCAGACGTCTTTGGGTAAGTCCCTCCGTAGTCCAGTGGAAGAACACTAGGTTCGATGTAATTTTTCAAATCATCGATGGATTTGTGATTAATCACCTGTAATATAAATATCACATTGAAATTTTTCTAAATAACTTTTAAATGATGAATGATTTACCCTTCCGGCAACTTTTTTTTTCATAAGACTTAATGATAGATTTATTAATGGATTAACGAAACTGTTTGTATTAATTAGGTGAATGCCTTGTGTCCGTAATGGATATGCCGCCTAAACAAAATAAGATATTATTATCCTATTAGATACAATATTATTTAATTATCACTTATAAATATACATTTATAAAAAGTTTCAGCCTTTTCCGAACGTATCTAAAATTATATCTAAACATCATATACAGTTAGGTACAATTTTATTTTTTTATTAACACTTAGAAATGTATTAAAAGATTCCATTTGTAATGGTTAACATTTAAATTACACATCATATACAATTAGGTATAATGTTATTTAATTAATAATACTAATATATATATTAAACACTTATTAAAAGTTTCACCATTTCCGAACATATCTTACATTGTAGGGAGCTAACATAGTACAACAAAATAGAGTCAATGGTTGCAAAGTTCCTGTAACATCACATTCAAGGAAACGCTTCGATGCGAATCTGTGGGTACTGGATCCCACTTTAGTAATATCTTACCGTGCTGGTTTAAACTGTGCTAAACAACATTAATATTTTTTTAAGCTCTTTTAGTGTATTTTTATGATAATACCCACGGTTATAAATAACAATTTTATATATTTATCTCAATTTATTTATAAACTCAAGCACCAAATTTATGAAGATTACATGTGATCTGTATATTTACGTTTTAGACCAAAAAGCCAGACAAAATTTCGAGTACTTTTGATAGTCTGATTTCAATGCTGTAAAGAGTTGTTTGGCAACTTTACAAGGGTATGCAAAAAAACAGATTTTTTTTGTTTTTTGTGTAAAAAAAAAAAGATATTAGTAGTTTATATAATGTTGTTTTGCTGTCAAAATATAAATAGGTTCGCCTATTCCCCCATTACTGTTCTTTGACTTCTTCCTACCCTAAATAATGCTTATATTATTTTCTATTTTAAACTAGTGACTAAGATAAGATTGAAACATATTAATTGTAAGACAATTTTATCAGCCAACTATCTTAATTAAAAATTGTACAAAATATATTATTACTTTTTATATTCGTATGTGTATTTTTAATTAATTTCAAGACTTATTTAGTTATTCAGACGTTGTTTTGGAGGTACAAGGAGAACAATTGCCCGCCCATCGTAATATACTAGCCTCACGAAGCGAATATTTTAGGTATTTTATTCTCATCATTAAGTATATTTCTTTAGGCTTTTCTTCTAGGGCGGATGAAAACTATTTGTTTTTAAGTTCACAATAATTTACACTTCCTGGTTCATTGTGACCTAAAATGAGACCCCCATTTTTGGAAATACTTCCACTTATTTTTAACGCTGTTACCGCCTTAAACATTTTGACGTATTTAAAATTTTAAAAAAAACTTGTACTATACATTTGGATACTCAAAACAAATGGTTTCATGATCCCAAAAATGGTAGAGTACAACTATCTTGCTTACCCCTGAGAAAGGTATTGTTTTTATCTTTTTTACTCCATAATTCAATGTTTGTAGTGATACAGTTTACTTTTTTTAGGATCTTATTTTATGGAGATCATATAGAAACAAAAAAATCAAATGTGCCAATAAAAGATGTATCCGTAACCTTGTTTAAAAGAATTCTTGAATATTTTTATACTGGCCGAATAGATTTAAGTGATTTTCAGGTAACGAATAATCGACGCAGCTTAGCGGTTATTAAACGGCATAAATATCATTTGTTTTGGTGATTTATTTGTGATCGTTTGACCGATAGTATGTGTTCGATCTGTTAAATTAAACGATGCGTACAATTGAAAAAGGTTAATAAAGAAAGATTGAACACATTTTTTATTATTTATTTTTCAGGTTGAAGGAGTTTTCGAATTACATAAGCTTTCGGATTATTTTGGGATTTCACATTTAACACTTTCACTGAACGAGTATTTTCAAAGAAGCATTAACGAATACAATGCATGTACGTACCTTGCTTTGGCAAGACTTTATGAAAACAAGGAGCTCGAAGTCGAATTACTAAAATTTATCGATGACAACGCTGTGGCTATATTACGATACGAAGATTTTCTGACTTTGTCATCTGTAGTGATATTTTTTCAACAAAAAAATAATAACAATATCGCTAGTGTTGGGTGAAAAGTTGAGAAATATTTGTTTTATTTTTAGGGAGTTTTTCAAGAAATTCTCAATCGTGACTCGTTTTATGCTGACGCGAACTGTATATATTCCGTGCGGTTTGTCGCTGGGTCAACAAGAACCAAAACGAACTGGATCGTGATGGTAAAATCAAAGTATTATCGGCCGTCAGGTATCCGGTAATGAGTTTTGAAGAACAGTATCAAGCTAGGGAATCACAATTGGTCAGGTCGGATATAATTTCAGCTGCCATGCAATTACGAACAAACACGTGGCCACAAGATAAGCCTCAATTTCGGGGACAGCTAAGTATGCTTGTCGTACACACATCAATTTGTATTTCGCAAAATATGTTGATTTTAATTATTTAATTTTTTAGAACACGATACGCATATTCTTTTTGAGGCTCATAGTTCTCCCCTTCCCGATTTGAGTTTAATTCATCAGTTTCGAGGTTTCACGGTTAGAAATAATGACTCGGGTACTAATTTGATAAGGTTGGTTACTCCATCAATTGTAAACTTTATTGAACTATCGTTATGGGATAAACATTGCGTTGACAGAGAAAAGTATGTTTTAAACTTATAAATATTTTATACTGAAATGGTCATTATTTAAAAAAAAAAAAAATTATTTGAATAATTATTCAAAACATTCGTGATTTTTATGTGTGTCTAACCATTGTTATTTGTTGAGAATTTATTTTAATTATAAGTAAAGCAAACAAATGTATCGATGAATGAAAACTTATTTTCTATTCACATTGTTTAATTAAGCATTAGTTATTCATATTTTGTTTTCATTATTTGACAACTTTTCCACAAACCTATTCCTAATATTTCATTTAGTATACTTTTTACAAACACTACTCTAAAAATTATTTCAATTATTTGATATTTTAGGCGTTACTCTTATTACGTTGAAGTTTCAAATGACGGGCAAGATTGGGTGCGTGTTGTAGATCATTCAAATTATAATTGTCAAGGATATCAACAATTGTGGATTCATCCTCAAGTAGTTCGGTATATACACATTGTTGGAACCAACAGGAGTGCTAATGAGACTTTTAAAATTTGGTTACTCATTAACGATACAATAAACAAGGTGGAAATCAACGAATCAACTAACCGCCGAATCAATGGATTATTCGGAAACGAAATTCGTTAGAATAACTCGAGGAATGGTAATAATATGTGTACGCTAGCGGTTCAAATTATAGCAGGGAATGGCTCTTTTATAACTTTAAAGAATATTCTAAATTAGCCAATACAAATTAATTCAAGATCACACATATTTTAATAGAAATGATAATTGTGCCTAATAAAAACCTAACAAAAGTGACTAAAAAAAAAAAAATTACAAGAATTGATTACAATTGACACCATTCCAGTTCAGCATTTAACTGTAAAATTAAAATAAAGTAATTGAAATAGAATCTTTCATAATTTTAGTTTTATTTTAATATATACCTACCTTCCTGACCTATTCAGTAATGTAAGAAAACTTTTTGTTTCCCTAGAAATGAATTAGTGTATGTTCAATATTTATATATTATATTATATAAATGAAGATGTGTTGTGGTATAAGTATTAAGTTATTGTCCTGTACAATTTTAATTTTTAAATAAGTGGTGTTTATAAAAATGATTTAACTGTATTTTTTTAAGATATCGGATCTATTTTTTGTATAAATAAATTGTATTGTGTTATGAAATTTTTACTGGAGGCGAGTTTTCTTTCTATCGGACATGCTAAAACAAATTTAGTAAATGGCTGCAAAGTTCCTGTAATATCATATTCAAGGAAACGCTTCGATGCGAGTCTGTGGATACTGTACCCTACTCTGGTACTTTCTACTTACTTGGTTCGACAGTACTTATTTTCAACTATACTGGTATAAACTTTAAAGCCTACAATGTATTCGGTGGAATCTTATTTTGTAAATATTACTGAATACTATAAAATCTTACTGGAGTCGTTTGGAATCTTTACTAGGGTATGTAGAAACACAGATTTTTTATTTTTAGTTTTTTATGTAAAAAATTAGGATATTATTTAAACAAATTGTAATGGTTTGAAGATTATAAAAATTAACCGGTAAATTAGATGTATAGGTCGAAATTGATTAATACCTCTTTTCTCTTAATTATTGCGTATACAAAACTGCTTTAAAACAGATTACATGCAATCCCCTTAAGTATAATATAAATTAAAAAAGTTACTTACAAATAAACTTTCAAGGACTTTCTTAATACTGGGTATTATTGCTGCTACAAGATTCATTGACGAATTGTTGCAATCAATTATGCTTATTGTTTTTTTATAGGTGTCTACCTTGGCGACTCTAAGATCCAATGTCATAAAACACAATTTAATAAAATCATCAAATACAATATGTTCGGCATCTTCAGTCCTTGTACCAAAAATTAAAACCCTGTGGCCCTCGTGTGTAGGGTTTGGTAATGGGACGTAATAACTAAAAAAATAATTATCAATTCAAATCATTAGTGAAATATTTATCGATTGTTCACAATGTTTAAGAAAATGTGTCATCTATAATAGCATATATTGATATCAAATACATTAAAAAACAGTTAAGTTGTTAAATAATGATAAATATAAATAAACATTGTCAATATAAATGTAATAATCCAAAATGCTTCTCATTCCTTCTTTGTATAAAACCAACTTAGGGCGTAATGCATAGTAAAAAAACATTAGCCAATTGGTAATTTTTTACAAGCACACGATTGTGAATAGTCGCTGCTTGATTTATTAAAATTACTATTAGTTATTCGTGTTTGAAGAAACTAAAAATAATAGATATGTTCACATAGATACTAACGATAATTTCATTGTTTTAACTATCTCTGGTGATGTCGGATCCCACTTAGAAAAATATTCTGGTGCTGAGAGTTTTATAGTGTAATGCTGGTCCAACATTACTTTGGTTTTCTCCAAACTATTCTTACAAATCAACAGAAATGTTTTGAGTCGCTTTTCATCGATTATCTTTTCATCATCTAATAGATTATATATTTTTTTTTTAGTGTGTACTATATTATAAGAACACACTGTTGTCACGATAATAAATGATTCCGAAAAAACAATATATCTCAATATAAAAACTATTTATTTTACCGTCTGGGTTCGGAAGGTGAGGCTGTTTTCGCATCCATTCTTTGAGAATTTTTACGTCAAGATCCAATTTTGTCTCAGATGTTCCCAACTCGGTATACATCTGATTGATTGTGCTCGGCGACGGTAGCATTAACGTTTTAGTTTCCATTATTCTATTAAAAATCTATTTTACACATCAACCCTAAAGGTTTTAAGAAGTTAATTTACAATCGAAATAAAAAAATAATTGTAGTGCTTAGAGTAACACTCAAGACTATGAAATGAGCAAGACTGTATTATTTTTTCAACGGAATTCAGTTTTTTTGTAAATTTGAACTATGAACAGGTCGTTTGTTTTTTTTCAAGACAGTGGTAACCGAGTAATTTGGGTAATGAATTATTTATACCTTGAATATCATTGTATTTAAAGTTTAAGAAAATTATTGTAAATTGGTCAAAGTTTACAAAGTATTAATTCTTTACATTTTATCTGGTCGTTTTTAATAAATTATGTACAATTGCCATTAGGTTAGTTGCAAAGACAGGATTCGCATATTAAAGGAATTAGAAACATATGTTACCATTTGAAAAAAAACCTAATTCCATACTTATTTTTTAGGTAACAATTTTTAAATATGTATATACATACTAAGAAATATATAGATATAACTATCAATCTTGTTCACATAAACCTGCGCAAAAAAAAAAATAATGCTACAATTTCCATATTATTTGTTGCATAATTAACACACCACAAAAATTGTAATATTTTTGTCTGTCTTCACCTCTAAATTAATATGTGTACTTTACATAACAGTTGAAATTATCGTTAACAATATTTATTCATATTTATGAATTTTCAATTAACGTATATAGTCTCAGTCATAATTAAAACACATCGTCCTTGATTTTTTGAAATTTAAATAATTACTGTAGAAGATGTTCATTGTTTCTTTGTCGATAAAACATCTAAAAAACTGAATGCCATTGATTAAACAGTGTATATTATTACACTTTTCTTAGTTTAACACCGAGTAGCATGTTGGTAAATTCTGCAATAATGGGTTTAAAGAATAAAGTTCTTTCAAGTTAATTTTTAACTTTGAACAAAAACATAAACCGTACCATTTTTTAATTCCCGGCTAAATTATCTAATTGTTCGGATTTCCAATTTACATTTTATGAGCTTATTTTAATAAAACAATTTTTTTCTAAATAGGTTTTCTTTTTTTTTTAACCCTATGAACAGTTTTGTTCGTAAATATGTTATTATTCGATTGGCTTCATAATGTGTTAGAAGAAAAATGTTGACTATTTTAAAAGGCTACCTAGTCTAATGCAGAAGGAATTTAAATAATATAATCCAGATGTATAAATAGGAGACTATTAGAGCTTATAGTAGACTGCCCTGCAATATTAAGCACTGAATTCAATTTAATGTACCAAATTTATTGTAAAATTTAAATTACATTACAATTTTATGCCTTGTTGTACGTCATTGACATACATTCACTGGACAAATTGCCAAATTAGTAATTATCTTTATTATTAAATATAGGAAATTAAATATTTGAATATTAAGAAATAAATAGGGATTGAACACAAACATCACAGACGGCAAAATAACTAATAACTAATATAAATGTATTTTAAAAACCGTTTTGGGTGAAAACTATTGAATTAGCTCAAGGTAAATGTGTCCGTTTTTTTACTTAAATGGGAATTCAATTGTTACTTGCAGCTCGTGAAAAATTGTTTCGCAAGGAACAAAAGAACTTAAAGAAATAAAAAAAAATTTGCTTAGGAAAACGAATTATATATATTAGTATTAAACTGGCAATTTCGTTATATCAAAATCCATTGTTTTATATTCATTATTGAAATATTTTCCATTTAATAACAGCAAGGACAATGTTGTTATATAATTATGACTTAGAATATGAATTTTTACTACAATATACGTTAATAAAAAATAAAAAAGTATAGGAAAATTGTAGTTTTCAAAAAAATTTAAATATATTCTTGAGAAAAAGGAGTGTTTTTACATTTTCACCTTGGAAATGTATATATTAATAAACAGATAAGGTGTAAGTGCCCTAGAATTTAAACTATAAGAACTTTGACCAATTAACAATCATTTTCTTAAACTTTAAATATAATAATATGCATGGTATTAATTATTCATTACACAATTAAATCGGTTTCCTCAGTCTTGGGAAAAAAACAAAAAACCTTGTCCAAAGTTCCTCGGGGCGATAAAGCTACCAAAAAACTGAATGCCGTTAAAGAAATAGTCTTGCTCATATCATAGTCTTAAATGTTACTCTATTCAATATAAGTCGTTTTTTATTTGTATTGTAAATTAACCCTTTATAACGCTAAGAGTTCATGTGTAAAATACCTTGTTCAATAGAATAATGGAATTTAAAACGTTAATGCAACCGTCGCCGAGCACAATCTATCAGATGTATACCGAGTTGGGAACATCTGAGACAAAATTGAATCTTGACGTGAAAATTCTCCAAGAGTGGATGCGAAAGAGGCCCCACCTTCCGAACCCAGACGGTAAAATAAATCATTTTTATATTGAGTTATACTGTTTTTTTCGGAATCATTCACTATCGTAACAATTAACTTTTTATAACACTTAAGGTTTATGTGAAACACCGAGTAGCATGTTGGTAAATTCTGAAAATAAAGGATTCAGAACAAAGTTCTTTCAAGCTAATTTTTTAACAGCCAGACAATATGCACATAGAATTTATAATATGTAAACTATGACCAAACCACAAAACATTTTTTAAAATTTTAATAACAATGGTTCTCATGATATTATTGTTTTATTATGATATTATCTTCTCATGGTATTATTATTAATTAAATACTCCTGGGAAAAAATCAAACGATCATTTGCATAGTTCCTTGTGGTCGATAAAACTACCAAAACACCGAATGTCTTGCTCATTTCATAGTCTTGAGTGTTACTCTATTCAATATAAGTCTTTTTTTATTTCTATTGTAAATTAACCCTTTATAACACTTAGAGTTCATGTGTACAATACCTAGTTCAATAGAATAATGGAAACTAAAACGTTAATGCTACCGTCGCCGAGCTCAATCAATCAGATTTATACCGAGTTGGGTACATCTGAAACAAAATTGGATCTTGACGTGAAAATTCTCAAAGAGTGGATGCGAAAACAGCCCCACCTCCCGAATCCAGACGGTAAATTAAAGAAGTTTTATACTAAGATATATTGTTTTTTTTCGGAATCATTTATTATCTTAATAACAGTGTGTTCTTATAATATTTTACACACTAAAAAATAATATATTATCTATTAGATGATGAAAAGATAATCGATGAAAAGCGACTCAAAACATTTCTGTTGATTTGTAAGAATAGTTTGGAGAAAACCAAAGTAATGTTGGACCAGCATTACACTATAAAACTCTCAGCACCAGAATATTTTTCCAAGTGGGATCCGACATCACCAGAGATAGTTAAAATAATGAAATTATTGTTAGTATCTATGTGATCATATCTATTATTTTTAGTTGCTTCAAACATGAATAACTAATAGTAATTATTTATAAATCAAGCAGCGACTTTTCACAATAAAGTGCTTGTAAAAAACTGCTTATTGTCTAATGCTTTTTATTGTTCATTACGCCCTATGTTGGTTCTAACTTCTATATAAAGAAGCAATATAAATAATTTTGGATTAATGCCAATTAATTTATATTGATCTTGCTAATTTATATTTATCAATATTTCACAAACACTGTTTTTCAAAATATTTAATATTATTATTACGCTATTTTAGATGAAAAAACCTAACCTAACTTAACTCTTCACTGCATATATATTATATTTAATAATTTTTTTAGTTGTTACGTCCCATTTCCAAACCCGACACACGAGGGCCACAGAGTTATCCTACATCGTATTAAGACGGAAGATGCAAACAATTTTGTATATGATGATCACATTAAATTAATTTTTATGTCATTAGATATTAGAGTCGCCAAGTTAGACACCTATAACAAAGAAATAATCTTATATGATTGCAACAATTTGTCAATGAATCATGTAGCAGCAATAATACCCAATATTAAGAAAGTTTTTGAAAGTGTATTTGTAAGTCACTTTTTAAATGTATATTTAACTAAAAGGGTTTGCATGTGGTCTGTTCTAAAGTAGTTTAGTATAGGCAATATTTAAGAAAAAACGATTAATTTACCGGTTAATTTGTACAATCTTCAAATTATTGCAATTTTTTCAATAATATCACAAATTTTTTAACATAAAAAACAAAAAATAAAAAAAATGTTTTTCTTCATACCTAAGTAAAATTGCCAAACAACTCGTATCTGTTTGCAGAATTAAAATCGGACCATCAAAAGTACCCGAAATTTTGTCTGGTTTTTTGGTGGCTCTTATTGTAAAAATACACTAAGCAGAGTAAAATGTTATAGTACTCAGTAATATCTACACAATATGATTCCACCAAATACATTTTAGGTGATTTATCAAAAATCTACAGATTCGCATCGAAGCGTTTTCTTGAATGTGATATTACAGGTACTTTGCAACCATTGACTACATATTTTGTTATAGTACGTTAGCTTCTTGCTACATTATATATGTTCAGAATGGGTTGAAACTTTTAATAATTTTATATGTATAAGTGTTAATAATTCAATTGCATTGTATTTAATTGTGTATAATGATTAATTTAAACGTTAACCATTACAAATAAGGTAATAATATCTTATTTATATTATATGATTATTATTTTTTTTAGGCGGCATTTCCATTACGGTTACATGGCATTCACATAATCAATACAAACAGTTTTGTAAACCCATTAATTAATCTATCATTAAGTATTATGAAAAAAAAAGTTGCCGGAAGGGTAAATTATTCTCTATTTCAACATTTGTTTAGAAATATTTCAATGAAATATTTATATTACAGGTGATTAATCACAAATCCATCGAAGAATTGAAAAATTACATCGATCCTAGTGTTCTTCCACTGGACTACGGAGGGACTTATCCAAAGACGTCTGACGAAATAATAGGTTAGTTTAATCTGTAATAATTTTTACAAAAACAATTTATGTTTTTACTTTAAATAAAAAAAACTGTAGAAAGAAATCCGCAATAAACCAAAAAATAATAATTTATCGTCTGAATCCAAAACGCAAAATATTCTATTAACTATAGAAATGATAATTATCTTGATTTCTGTAAAAAAAAAAAATAATTATAAATAAAATAAGTTCCATATTTTGTTTATAAATACAAAATATTGAATATGATCAGAGATGGACTCGATGATTAATCCCAGATTATAGGATTTTTGTTTAATTAATTAAAATATTACAGGAAATCAGGCTAAAAAAATAATTTTTCCACTTCACGAAAAAAACATTGAATCGTGGATATGTTATCATATACATCCTATATCTTATCACTTAGACGAATTATTTATTTCCAAAAATACGAATGTCGTTTTAGCCTAATAATTTGAATTGTAAAATAATTGATATATTTTAGATGACTGGCATATTGAATTGAAGAAGCACCGAGAATGGTTTATAACACAATCGTCAATTGTTGCAGATAATAGTAAACGCCCGATAAATTCCAATAATCGCTTGGATAACGCAATGGAAGGTTCATTTAGGAAATTAGATGTCGATTAGTAACGATTCATTGTCAGTGAAAATAAATAAGCTTATTCTTAAGGGAACATCATGCGTTATAGTTGTACATGCATGATGTTATTTTGGCAATAGATTTATTTGGTGTACTTAAATTTTAAATTTTTCTGGTGAAAGAGTATTTTGTTATTCTAAAATAATAGCGTAATTTTATGTGGTGTAACAAATTATGTGTTGGGTTAATTTATTTGACTGAGTTGTAATATAAATGTGAAAAACAATGTTACTATTTTGAAAAAGTGTATGCACCATATGAGAGTAGGTTTAGTTTGTAAGTTGTAACTTTTTTCACACAACGAAAATTGTAATTTAAATAAAATATTGTAACGGATTTGAGATGAATTTTTTTGAGTTTTATTTTCAGAAATAAATAATTAGACCTCCGAGAACGACAATAATGGTTTTATTGTTTAACTTCAGTCATTTAAGTGTTAATGGTCTTAATTTGAATGAAAGTTTTGACGTTGAGTTGGAGCTGAGGTGTTGTCGTTAAAAATTATTAGGATTCCAATTTTTTTAAAAATTAAGCATTACCTTACCAAATAAACAATTTATATGATACAACAAAACAGGTAAATACATGTTTCCTAGTATTTATTATATGTTAATTATAACTAAGTACCGTTAAATTGCTAGTTTAATACAAAAATGTATATTTCGTTTTTTTTACAAGCTCACTATTGTGAAAAATTGCTGCTTGATTTATTAAAATTACTATTAGTTATTCATGTTTGAAGCATCTAAAAAAAAAAGATACTAACGATAATTTTATTGTTTTAACTATCTCTGGTGATGTCGGATCCCACTTGGAAAAGTATTCTGGTGCTGAGAGTTTAATAGTGTATTACTGGTCCACAATTATTTTGACTTTTTCCATGGTTTTATGAATTATTAATACTATGAATGTCACTGTACTTAAAGTTTAAGAAAATTATTGTAAATTGGTCATAGTTTACAAAGTATTAATTCTTTACATGTTATCTGGTCGTTTTTAATAAATTATATACAATTGCCACTAGGTTAGTTGCAAAGACAGGATTAGCATATCAAAGAAATTAAAAACTTATGTTACTTTTTGAAAAAAACCTAATTCCATACTTATTTTCTAGGTAACAATTTTTAAATATGTATATACATACTTAGAAATGTATGGATAAAACTATCAATCTTGTTCACAAAAACCTGCGCAAAAAAAAAATGCTGCAATTTCCATATTATTTGTTGCATAATTAACACATCACAAAATTGTAATATTTTTGTATGTCTTCACCTCTAAACTAATATGTATATTTTATATAATAGTTGAAATTATCGTTAACAATATTTATTTATATGTATGAATTTTCAATTAACGTATATGAAGAGTGAAAGTGTCAAACGTTCCAAGTGCCAAAGTATAAAAATTGTACAATATAATTTGATTTGTATTTTATTCATTACCGGAAACAATTTTGTAAATTTTTCAAGTGAAGAATAGTTATTTATAAAAAAAACAATCATATTGAAAACTCAAAAATATGTTAAAATGTTTCCGGTAATGAATAAAATACAAATCAAGTTAACAAGTTGAATTTTTATACCTTGGCACTTGGAACGTTTGACACTTTCACTCTTCATATAGTCTCAGTCATAATTAAAACACATCGCCCTTGCTTTTTTGAAATTTAAATAATTACTATAGAAGATGTTCAATGTTTCTTTGTCGATAAAACATCTGAAAACCTAAACGGCAATGACTAAACATTGTATATTATTATACCTTTCTTAGTGTAACACCGAGTAGCATGTTGGTAAATTCTGCAATAAAGGGTTTAAAGAATAAAGTTATTTCAAGTTAATTTTTTAACAACCAGACAATATGCATATAAAATTTATAATATGTAAACTATGACCAAACAACAAAACATTTTTTTTAATATTAATAACAATGGTTCTCATGATATTTATGTTTTATTCTTGTTTTTCTTAATATTATGTTAATGTTGTTTATTATGATATTATCCTCTCATGATGTTATTATATTAATTAATTACTCCTGAGAAAAAAACGGCCATTTACATAGTTCCTCGAAGTCGATAAAACTACCAAAAAATTGAATGCCGTCGAAGACATAGTATAGTCTTGCTCATTTCATAGTTTTGAGTGTTACTCTATGCAATAAAATAATTTTTTTATTTCTATTGTAAATTAACCCTTTATAACACTTTAAGTGTATATGTATAAAAAACCTTTTCCAATATAATTATGGAAACTAAAACGTTAATGCTACCGTCGCCGAGCTCAATCAATCAGATTTATACCGAGTTGGGCACATCTGAGACAAAATTGGATCTTGACGTTAAAATTCTCAAAGAGTGGATGCGAAAACAGCCCCACCTTCCGAACCCAGACGGTAAAATAAATAGTTTTTATATTGAGATATATTGTTTTTTCGGAATCATTTATTATCGTGACAACAGTGTGTTCTTATAATATAGTACACACTAAAAAATAATATATTATCTATTAGATGATGAAAAGATAATCGATGAAAAGCGACTCAAAACATTTCTGTTGATTTGTAAGAATAGTTTGGAGAAAACCAAAGTAATGTTGGACCAGCATTACACTATAAAACTCTCAGCACCAGAATATTTTCCAAGTGGGATCCGACATCACCAGAGATAGTTAAAATAATGAAATTATTGTTAGTATCTATGTGAACATATCTATTATTTTTAGTCGCTTCAAACATGAATAACTAATAGTAATTATTTATAAATCAATCAGCGACTTTTCACAATCGTGTGCTTGTAAAAAATTACCAATTGGCTAATGTTTTTTTACTATGCATTACGCCCTAAGTTGGTTTTATACAAAGAAGGAATGAGAAGCATTTTGGATTATTACATTTATATTGACAATGTTTATTTATATTTATCATTATTTAACAACTTAACTGTTTTTTAGAATATTTGATATTAATATATGCTATTATAGATGAAAAAACCTAACCTAACTTAACTCTTCACTGCATATATATTATATTTAATTATTTTTTTTAGTTGTTACGTCCCATTTCCAAACCCGACACACGAGGCCACAGAGTTCTCCTACATCGTATTAAGACGGAAGATGCAGAAAATTTTGTATATGATGATATTAATAAATTAGTTTTTATGTCAATAGATCTTAGAGTCGCCAAGTTAGACACCTATAACAAAGAAATAATCTTATATGATTGCAACAATTTGTCAATGAATCATGTAGCAGCAATAATACCCAGTATTAAGAAAGTCCTTGAAAGTTTATTTGTAAGTCACATTTTAAATGTATATTTAACTAAAAGAGTTTGCATGTGGTCTGTTCTAAAATAGTTTAGTATAGGCAGTATTTAAGAAAAAACGATTAATTTACCGGTTAATTTGTACAATCTTCAAATTATTGCAATTTTTTCAATAATATCACAATTTTTTAACATAAAAAACAAAAAATAAAAAAAATGTTTTTCTTCATACCTAAGTAAAATTGCCAAACAACTCGTATCTGTTTGCAGAATTAAAATCGGACCATCAAAAGTACCCGAAATTTTGTCTGGTTTTTTGGTGGCTCTTATTGTAAAAATACACTAAGCAGAGTAAAATGTTATAGTACTCAGTAATATCTACACAATATGATTCCACCAAATACATTTTAGGTGATTTATCAAAAATCTACAGATTCGCATCGAAGCGTTTTCTTGAATGTGATATTACAGGTACTTTGCAACCATTGACTACATATTTTGTTATAGTACGTTAGCTTCTTGCTACATTATATATGTTCAGAATGGGTTGAAACTTTTAATAATTTTATATGTATAAGTGTTAATAATTCAATTGCATTGTATTTAATTGTGTATAATGATTAATTTAAATGTTAACCATTACAAATAAGGTAATAATATCTTATTTATATTATATGATTATTATTTTTTTTAGGCGGCATTTCCATTACGGTTACATGGCATTCACATAATCAATACAAACAGTTTTGTAAACCCATTAATTAATCTATCATTAAGTATTATGAAAAAAAAAGTTGCCGGAAGGGTAAATTATTCTCTATTTCAACATTTGTTTAGAAATATTTCAATGAAATATTTATATTACAGGTGATTAATCACAAATCCATCGAAGAATTGAAAAATTACATCGATCCTAGTGTTCTTCCACTGGACTACGGAGGGACTTATCCAAAGACGTCTGACGAAATAATAGGTTAGTTTAATCTGTAATAATTTTTACAAAAAAATTTATGTTTTTACTTTAAATAAAAAAAACTGTAGAAAGAAATCCCCAATAAACCAAAAAATAATAATTTATTGTCTGAATCCAAAACGCAAAATATTCTATTAACTATAGAAATGATAATTATCTTGATTTCTGTAAAAAAAAAAATAATTATAAATAAATTAAGTTCCATATTTTGTTTATAAATACAAAATATTGAATATGATCAGAGATGGACTCGATGATTAATCCCAGATTATAGGATTTTTGTTTAATTAATTAAAATATTACAGGAAATCAGGCTAAAAAAATAATTTTTCCACTTCACGAAAAAAACATTGAATCGTGGATATGTTATCATATACATCCTATATCTTATCACTTAGACGAATTATTTATTTCCAAAAATACGAATGTCGTTTTAGCCTAATAATTTGAATTGTAAAATAATTGATATATTTTAGATGACTGGCATATTGAATTGAAGAAGCACCGAGAATGGTTTATAACACAATCGTCAATTGTTGCAGATAATAGTAAACGCCCGATAAATTCCAATAATCACTTGGATAACGCAATGGAAGGTTCATTTAGGAAATTAGATGTCGATTAGTAACGATTCATTGTCAGTGAAAATAAATAAGCTTATTCTTAAGGGAACATCATGCGTTATAGTTGTACATGCATGATGTTATTTTGGCAATAGATTTATTTTGGTGTACTTAAATTTTAAATTTTTCTGGTGAAAGAGTATTTTGTTATTCTAAAATAATAGTGTAATTTTATGTGGTGTAACAAATTATGTGTTGGGTTAATCAAAGGTATATCAAATAGTGTATGCACCATATAAGAGTAGGTATTTTTTCACACAACGAATATTGTAATTTTTTTAAAATATAAAATATTGTAACGGGTTCGCCATGGATTTTGAATTTTTAATTACAGAAACAGTTGCCAGTTTTATACAAAAATGTATATTTCGGCTTCTTTATTCTTTGCTAGACTTTTTTCACGAGCTGCAAGAAAAAACTAAATTCCTATTTTAGTTAAAAAATAAACGACACGTCTTTGCCTTGAGTTAATTCATACTTTTCACCTCGAACGGTTTTAATAATACATTTATATTAGTTATTAGTTCTATTGCCATCTATGATTTTTGTGTTCAATCCCTATTTATTTCCTAACATTGAAATAGTAATTTTCCATTTATTTAATAATAAAGGTACGCTAATATGGCAATTTATACGGTAAATGTTTTGTCAATAATGTACAACAAGGTATCAAATTGAAATGTTATTTTAATTTTACAATAAATTTTGTACATTAAGTTGAATTCAGCTTAATATTGCAGGGCAGTCTACAATAAGCAATTTATACATCCGGATTTTTCAAATGATTCAAAATCAGTTAAGCTATCTGATTATCGTACCGTTTTGATAGTTTTAATCAACGTTGTTTGTAGTTATTCCCAATTGAAAGAGCTTTACTATACTTCAACCGACTTGGGTATTTATTTTACTAAATGCATGAACAAAAATACACGTTGTAAATACATAACAGAAACTTGAAATTAAAAAAAATATGCGCCTAATTTTCTTTTTGTACACACTGCAACTTTAAGTACACGCGTTTATTATGTTGTCTATACGAAACGCCGTATAACGTATGTTTTTTATTATTAGTCGATTCTCGAAAAACCGTTAAAAAGTTTTGTCTGCCATCATAGTAGATTATGATTAAACGCCATTTAAACACCAGATGATTAAAAATGTTTAATAATAACGCCTGGGGATATTATTATATTAACAGACACAAATTATTGTAAAATCAAAACCTTCTCGGTTTCATTTTAAAGTTGAATGACGGTGAATTGTTTAGTCTCAACACAACCGGTAAATTGTGTTTAGCCGTGTATATGCTAAATGCGGCTATGATGTAGCTTGCAGACAACCATTTTCACTACACTCAAAAAGGGCACGGCCTTCAGAGTTGTGCATCATCATTCGAATAGAATGTTATCTAAACAGATGATCTAGATAACTCACTCATTATTGAAATAATTTCCAAAAATAAGTGTTCAAATAATTTTGCATTCGAATAACTCAAGTTAATGGTTTGTAAATGCCTTTTTTTTAAGTGTTTGTTTCAACATGTATGTTATTGTCGCCATTTTCGCGTTACATTTTTCATTTGTCCTTATCAGTTCGAATTCCCCCGCCCACTGATAAGAATCTCGCCATAGACTTCCTTGGTAATTTATGCAATTTGGGAAAAATGATAACAACCCGACGAGTGATAAGTGATAAGAGATAACATATCCATGATACAATTTTATTCCATGGAACGTAGAAAATCACTAGGTTTTTATTAAGAGATTATTTCTTAAAAATAAAATATATTATACTAGAATAATTGAAAGGGTCAGTGGATAAAAGTGTGATAAAAACATTACATCAGTCGGTAAAGGTTTTCATTCACGGAATCACATGGTTATTTCATTTGTATCGAACATGGAAAAATGTGAAAATGGAACCAGGCAGGAGGGGAAGTCGTATGGTAAATGTATGTCCGTCGACCGGAAGTGCAGGCCGGATGACCGTGGCTGTGTTCCGGTGTACATATTATTGTTACACTGCAAAATATGGTACGATATCCATTGCACACACATGATTCCACCTGTAATGCAGCTGTAGCACACGACGTCCTAATTAAAAAAAAAAAATAGAATACAGCGTCTCCGGAGGTGCGCAAATACACACAAAAAACTGGTTCGAGAAAAGGTTTTTTTTATTATTATTATGGTAACTTTCCAATGCGAATTGTCCTTTTTTGCAAACGCGAACACAGCGCCGTCTGTGACGTTTTTCCTTTCTGGTCCTGTCGGCGGCGGCGGCCAGACAAGTGAATGACAATAATATGAACCGATTGATGTTGCAGTGTAGCTGTGTTTGTGCACATCATCAGCAGCAGCAGGTCTATGTCCATATGTACATAACTATACATCTCCAAAGACATATGCTGGCCGTCTTAACCGGAAACCGTAGGTTACACGGTTAAACCTACATACTATTGATCAACTGCTAGCTGCCGTTTTCCGTTGTAAAAACAATAATAAAATATATCAAAATAGATCCTTCTTTCCTATGGTACCTGAGATATTATGTAGGTAACTTTTTAAAATGTTTAACTCAATATTGAGATTTAGTGAAAAGTTGCCTATACAATGCGCCTTAATAACACTGCTAGTGTAGATTGCCCCTTAACGCGCTTGGTGCAAGTGTTTTCTATTTTTTTTTTACATTTTTTATAATTGGCATTTATTCGAGTTGCTCCTTTTTTTTTTATATAACGAAAGATATGACTAAACGTTGATGTGACTTCACCCTTACCCTTACCGCCATACTTGATCCGTTTTAAATTAACAGCTAAATTGCATATTCTAACAAAATGTCCGCACACAGTTACAAAGTTACTTTCTGAAGCATGCCGTATAATATTTTCAATGTGAGAATCATAGTTTATATTTTATAGTTCTCGGATTCAACTCAAAACATCAACATCAATTGTTATTATTTAGTTTTTCTTTGCTTCGACCAAATAGAACTGTCACCGTTGAAAGTTCAAAGCGCTCAATATCTAAATAAAAAAAAATAAAAAAATGATTTGTTTACTGTTCTGATGACCTCTGTTGGTTCTGCGCCGATAATTTCTTTGACACCTGACAAGTGACAACCTAACATCTTGCAGGTGTTACCTTCTAGCTCGGATGGTTATCGTGGGAATTTAAAAAAAGTTCATTTCTAAGAAAAATAAATTACATTAAAAGTTTAAGCAAAAGGTTCACTCTATTTGTGTAATCAATTTTTATACTACACAACTGTTCTGTGAAAGACATGAAAAATATAAACAGCTGTTGATCAACCTTCGGTATTACAGTATAAAGGTAAAATGAGGTCCTATATAGTTTATCTTCTATAACTAATATGATTGGTGATTATTTTAAGTCTGCGCATTAAATAAGTAAATTAATGCCAAACACTTCATACGATTATATCTAACCTAATCCATCTGTAAGGTAAAAAAAAAATACAAAACTTATAATTTAAATTTCAGAGTAATTGCAATATTAGCAACAACTTCTTGGACAATCTGAATATTTAAATACATATTTTTAAAATTTGTTTTATTACTTTAAACAGACCATTTCCGCATATCTGTGGTGTTCGGGTATAAGGTCTTAAATACAAAAGTTGCGAAAATTTATTTTTTCTCATGTAAAAGTATTTTATACAACTAGTTACACATTTTATGTTTATTGTAAAAGTTTTTACAAATATTTTTCTAGAGTTTTATTTCACGTTTAAATTTCATTTCACCAAAATTAGTTATTTTGAACATATAAGACCTAATCATACATTAGAATATTTCTTCTGTATTTCCAATGCATTAAGTTTCAAAGTATTTTCATCATAAAGACACACACCCAATAAGTTGACATTATATTAAAATATAATTTAAAATCATTAGTTTTTATAGTTATTAATTGAAAAGAAATAATAGAGTAATCAGACAAAAAAAAACAACTTATGTATATATAGATGGAGATGACCTATGGCGTATGGCATAGACTAAATAGATAGAAAAGTATACACAATTGCCAATATAATTATAGAAGAGGAGCTAAGTTTTAAAATGTTTTTTTTTTTGGATTTTTATATCTAGTCACGATAATTTAACGAGTGCATACATCCAGAACTAAGGTGTCTGTGATAAGTGATAAGAGATAAATGATAAGAGATACGTGATAAGAGATAACATATCCATGATAAAATGTTTTTCCACGGAGTGGAGAAAATAACTAGGTTTTTTTAAGATATTATTTCTTATAAATATAATATAATAATATACTACAGTTAAAGGGGTCATTGGATAAAGGTGTTATAGTGTAATAAAAACATTACGTCAGTCGGAAAAGGTTTTGATTCGCGGTTACATAGTTATTTCTTTTATATTGAACATCAAAAAAAATTATAGCTTATGTAACTAACAATTTAAAAAATGTCAGTCAACAACAGCTGAGCGGTGAACTAAGCGGTTTTGTCTGATTTATCTAATTTTGCATTAGATTTAGCAATGAAACATAATATGCATATTGTATTTACACATTTGTTCGAGTACAAAATACATATATTATACATTTATTTTTTTAGTTTACTGTATTCTATGTTTTCAGTCATATATCGACCCTGACGGTTGTACAGTAATTATTATTAGGCACAATATTTACGTATAAGCAAATATACAAACTATCAAATAAAATTAGTCTTGGCAAACAAGGTGAAAATATATTATACTTAAACGACGTTGTTTATGAAGCGAGTGAGGAGGACACGTGTGTGAAATTTTACAACAAAAAAAATCCGTATTGTCTTTATTAAAAAACCAACATGACGACCACGGTTGTATTCGTGTCCAGGGTGTTAATGGATAAAGCCAAAAACTCTGGCCAATAGAAATCAACTTCCACTTTCTTCGCCGAACACTGTTATAATATTAAACGGTTATCATTATCTACGACAAACAATAGCCGCTAGACGCCTTGACTCATAATGTAATATTATAGCTAATGATTTTCTACTAGACAGCTTATGTTATTACCATAAACAATTAACCTATATGTATATAATAGTATTATGTATAATCTGTACACTCTAAAATATATATACAACCGGTTAGTGAAATAAGCTAGTTTTATACGGCAATAGTGATATATATATATATATATATATATATATATATATATATATATATATATATATGTATTTATTTTTTTGTTATTTAAGTAAAAGGTTCAACGCAAACAGGGACTGATCT